GACTAGTAAAGAGAGATTGACAAGCGAACAGTCTTTCTGACCAGAGAGCAGGATGAAAAGTTTCTTCTTTTGCCAGTACTGTTGAACTAAGGGACAATTTCAGAGACTATCCAGCGGACCGAGTCAAACAAGGAGCTGAATAAACAATGCAATGCAAAAAAGCTGTTAATCACATTGAGAATCAAAGCTACAGACAAATTAAAGGTCTACTCTGAGGGAATAAATGTTTATACTGAAATGTGATGAGAAATGCAGCTCAGAAATTGCATATTGTTTAATAGCATTTAAGTTTTGTTTTTAAATACAATTCTGTCATAGCATTAAGTTGTTTTGTTCCAAAAAAAAAGGGGGGGGGGGTATTGTCAATCATACTATCAAATTTCCCAAGTTTAAGTTAATATGTTTGTTCCAGAGCAGTTTTTATAGCCACATATAAAACTTTACAGCTGTGTAATAGAGCAATTTGTCTGAAATAAGTGGAAAATAATGCGAAACTGATCAGGGTTGCACATGTATTTTTATATGGTTTACATAATTATGCTCAAAAACATGCAACTTTGTCAAACAAGAGTTAAGCAGTCTTATGGTTTGAATGGGACGTAGCTGTATTTCTGCCAACCTTAGAGTAGGAAAGCGATCTTTATATACATACAATGTAACTACCTCTGAACTATGGTATTGACTCACTACAGCCTTATTGATGTTTGTCTCCTTTTTATAAACAGCAAATATATAATTTTATACATTGAGAAATAAAAATTTTAGTTTGTACAAAATAAAAACTTGTACCACTTAGGTTGTACATACTTTATATGTCTTTTAAATGTATGTTAGAATAAAATTATGATCAACATGTTGTATAAACTTGAACCTCTCTGCTTATGATACAAAAAAACACACAACATCCATAAGGTGTAGATCCTCAAACTTTTATTATACACAGAAACAGTCAACTTATAAAGATTCAGTTCATGAAATGCATCTATTCAACATATAAGCAACACGTCAGAACAAGAAAGCAAAAAGAAAGGATGCTATGCTAACCAAGATCAGACAGCTAAAACAACTGAATGAAGAAAACTACATGCAAGGTCTCTTCAGCGGTTCTTCTGCCTCCTGCTGGGAACAGAGTGCATCCCGTTTCCGAGATGATAATTTCTGATCCGGAGCATTTTCTTTGTCGTCTCCCACAACTCTCTGATCAAGGACACACAAAAACTATTATTTTCGAAAAACTCTACAAATGTATGATATTCTGTTACCTAACGTAGACTATAAATTCAGAACAAAATTAGTACAAATTACAACAAACTCAAGATTTGAAACTGGTGCTTGAAGATCCAACATAGTAAAAAATATATATAAACTGCAATCTGTTGCCAATGTTAGTCTAGCACATTTTTTTTCCAGGTTATTCAGATGCATTGTTACATTAGTTGAGCCCACAAAGCTATTGGTAAAATCCTGTGGGAATTCTGAGAAGAAAGGAGCAATGGAAAAGGTGCTGCAAGCTAACTATATCCTAAAGATCTCAAATACGGGTTCAAAAATTATAATTTCAGTAAATCCATTCACTATGTGCAATATTGAGGTGATACTGCTGTGGGAATAAGTGTGACAACTTGCTTTGTGACACAACCAGCTCCTCACCAAAAATAGTCTTAACTTTTTTCAAACAAGAGTACATGGAACAGACAGAAAGCAAGTAAAGCTGCAGATACCCAGATGAAACATTTTTGAAAAACCTACAAAAAGACTCACAAAATGTCAATAAATAAAAAATCCTATACATAAATCTGTTGTATTTTGTCGTGCTTGAAGCAGAACAACAAAATAAGCGGTGCCCCAAAACCTTTGAATGAAATTTGACTTAAAATTGCAGAAGATACATTATCCTGTAGCTTATGTTCAATCTAGAATCCACAGCACAGCCTTGTGGTTCAAATGAACTACTACACAATCGGTACTAGCAGGACCGAAAATAAAGAATTGTGGAACTACAAACATCCTATTCATGCACAGATCAAATGACAGAGGTAGAAGAAAATGAGATAATATGTCTTACTTTGTTTGTCTGAATTGCATGTTCCTGTGTCCACTTCTTGGCCTTCTCTGTGAAGAGGTATTTGTTGTACTTGAACTCTGATGACTGGATTTAAAGTACATAAATAAGCATTCAATAAATAAGAATCAAAAGACTTTCGATTTAGAGCAGTGGCAATATCCAAAAATATATTTTAAGTTCCTCCAAACCCTTAATGAAGCACCTCAAACACATGGTAATATATATGTGGCTAAAGGAAAACAAAAATGCGACTCACTATGTCAGCCATAAGTGGGTCATCTGGATTGGGCTCAGCCATGAGCAGTTGGATTGAGGTGAGGACTGTGGAGATATTTAGAGATGGTTTCCAGGCACCCTGAATAAAAACAAAACAAAGAAAACCCAGCTGATTATTGCATCTGATTTGAGAAAAGAAGCTTAAATAGTTGACAGCATACAAATTGCACTATACTTCTCACAACCTTTGGCGGGAGTTTAAGAGCATCATGGCAGATTCGTCCCGAGTTGTCAATGTTTGGGTGGTAGATTGGGGTCAAGAAGCGTATGTTTGGAGGTTCAAATGGATACCTAAGGCACATAAATAGCAGACCTGTTGCGTTTAAATGGTTACGTCGGTTTCATGAGTGTTCAAATGGACAGAAAAGTACCTTTCTGGGATCTTCACCTCCAGGGAGAAGAGTCCACCTTCATAAGGAGTTCCTACACCGCCAACGATCTCTGCAAGGTAAAGTGATACTAATGAATTACCAAGATAGAGCTGAATTGAATAACAGTTAATTAAATTTAAAAAACAGAGTTATGCAATTATATCCAAAAGGTTGTAAAAGTATCAAGGATTAAAATTTAGACCACATGGAGAAATTTAAATGTCTACCCAATACATGTTTTTATTTTGTCATACCCGGGAAAATGGGCATGTTTACGGTTTATCCTCATGTAAAGTTATAGCTCCCATCATTTCTGAACTGTCATCCTGACTATTGCTCCGTTATGGAAACATTTCTAACTGCTTCAGGCCCAGTGACAGTAAGCCTACGTGCTCGGAGGTCATCAATCCGCTCCTCGGTCTGCCAGCATGTTATCCCAGGAGGAGGCTCAGTGCTCAACATCTGAAGTTCACGCTTCAAACGGGAAGCTCTCTGCATTCTTTAGAGTGGAAGAAAAAAAAAAAGTAAACTGAAAGCAATTTTCCCACACAATTATAAGTGGCGTCATGTAAACATGAGGGTGCGGCATACGACATGAAAACTGAACCCGACTCCACATCAAAGCAGTATAAAAATTGTGAAATTAGATCCTCGCATTCTGATTAGCAACCAACTATGAGACTAGTTCAGGATATTTTAAAACAGTTTACGGTTTTAAAAATTGGTGTTTTTTAGTTTAAGATTTGGCTGTGGTGACCTAATTCACAAAGCTTTTAAATTAGATCACTTTTGTTGAGCTAATTTAAGTCATTTTTGTTGACTTAAAGCAATTTTGGTTTGCTTTGTTTAAAAAAAAAAAAACAAAAAAAAAACTCAAAGGTTAAATCACAAACTTTGTACTGGTCCGAGGTTATCTATAGAATGTGTCTTAAATTCATAACAATTCTGTCAATGTCTGACCTAATTCAACTGTTAATTATTCTAAGCCGAATCTCAAGTAATACTAATATTGCTCACAGTTGTCGTAAATAAAACGAGGATTTGACTAGTTTCACAAACTCTGTTTTACATAGTATGCGGCCATTTTAAAATTAATCCAGTTCGGCGTTATTTAAGCGCCGAATTTAACGTCATTTTCACCGTCTTTGGTAGCACGTTTATATTTATAAGATAGTTGGTCATCTCGTCTGTATTTCTCTCGGTTGTTAACCGACCATAAATAAGCTAACTGCTCAAGTTACGGTACCCATGTATCAAGGTAATCAAGGTAATTTCTCCAGATCGTCCACACATAGTATTAGAAGCTCATTTCTTTACGTTTTCTTACCTGTCACACACGTTGCACTCACTGAAGAATTAAAAACTCGTAAACACAGAGAGGAAAAGGAGCTCAGAGAGGACTGTTTTCGGATTTCCCTCTTCAGCGTCACACTTCTTCTCGTGCTGATCTTGTTGTGGTTGAGAAGGTGAATAGCGCCATCAACTGTTACGGAGCCGCGACAAAAATATGTGCACTTTATTCACATCAGTCTCTAAGTAATGGGGACTACAACAGATATTTTAGTACATCGTATTTGGAACTTATTCATTGAGTATCAACAAGTGGATTTTCGTTCTCCTAGATTCTCACAAATAGTCAATAAAAATATTGCCTTGCTATGTTCAAAGAGCATTTTCAAACAGTTTGAAAATGCATTTAATGCTTATCTTAGGTTGATAAATACACATTGCATCATAACACATATGTATTTGGCCAATAATGCCATTACTTATCAGTCAGACATTAAAAAAGGAAAATTAGGTATTTCCTAAATAATTTATCGTGTTTACATTTTGTTTTAAGATTTATTTTTGTGTTAATGCAATCACACTATACATTATTATTTTTCTTTAATTAGTCTCTCTCTCTACTGTGTGTTGTTTAGTTATTTTTTTTATTATTTACTTTTTTGATCATTCGATTGAGCTAAACAAATATAATCTTTGCAGTTAGCTGCTATGTTTCTTTCTGGTGACATTTCCATTGACCTGTGCTTTGTTCCCACACTCAAGCTGAAAGTGTAGCACTCCTTCCAATTCTCTTCATTTCTCAGTTTTCCTTCAGATTTTATAGAATGAGTCTTCTCCCCCCCACACCCTCACATTTTCTATTGCTTTTTCCTTGTCAATATGTCTAAGTTCAAACATTCAATTTGTAAAAGTATTGATATAATAATTTATTTGGTCACTGATGTGTTGTTGTTTTTTTTTTTCCAAGCAGTACATACCACAATTATTTTCTCACAAAATTATTTCAGGAAAGGTTTATCTTTTATTCTTTAGAGTTACAAATATGACTTATTGATTGATTCATTCGTGAGTTAAACACTGTCTCACTTTAATGCCGTGGCATAAATAGCCTGAAAGGTTATGTTTCTGTGTTGCGTGTCTTCCATCCTGATGTCAGTGAAGCCAGAGTCTCTCAGAGCTGCCATGTAGGCCTCAGGGCGCCAGTTCTCCCCTGGCATCACTCGCTTAGCTGCTAAAACAGCTACATGGGAATGCCTCAGTGTTGTGACAATAAGTCCTCCTAGGGTGAAAAGGCAAAAAAAAAAAAAAAAAAAGTGTTTAAATTTAACCTTTTTTATGTACCTCAAGAACATAGTGTGTCTTACCTGGTTTCATTACACGGTGGATTTCTAAGGCTGCTTTCTTGAGGTCGGGCCAAAAGTAGTAGCAGTTGCAGTGAAAAACTTTATCCACACTGCTGTCCTTCAGAGGCATGGCTGAGACATCACAGTGATGGAGGCTCACTTTGCCACTTTCCAAAAATTCCTGCACTCGTTCTCTGGCCATCTGTCATGGCAGAAAATAAAACTATTTGAAGTTTCAAAAGGAAAATATCACCACTCTTTCCACATGTCTAACATCTACTTTGCCATTAATTAGTATTAAATGCAGGGATTGTTGTTTTTCAGGCACTTTCTTCATTAAAATTTGGAAAAAAAACAAAAAAAAACAACCCACACATCTATGTAATAATATGAAAACACCTCACCTGATGCATGTAGTCAGAGTAATCCACTCCGATCATGTGACCTGTAGGCGCAGTGAGGAGTTTGGCTGCTAACTCCAGACCCAGACCCGGGCCATGACCAAGCTCCAGCACCGTGTCCCCAGGTTGGATCCCACACAGCTGAACGGCACGCTCCTCAAGAACCTTGTTGCGAGTTTTGAACATCTTGCTGACCAACCACCCAACCACAGATCGGGTTGGCCTGCCCAACTGGCTCCCCAATTTTGCAGCCCACATGCCTGGGGACATTAGACCCCAGAGACCCCACTTAGAATATCTGTGGAGCCTTTTTAATGCAAACTGATGGTAACACAGAGTAGAAAAAAAGTCATTGTCACCATGCCATGTTGAAATAAATCTGTTGAACTCGATTTTTGGGTCGTCTACTACCACCTTTGTTTACTCTTCTCTGAAAAGAGAACTTTGGACCACTGACTTAGCCCAGGTTTTTTTCTTCGTCGTCCAGGTTAAATGTCTCTTATTTTATTACTTTTGCTTTAAAAAAAACAAAAACAAAACAAAAAAAAAAAACAGAATAACTTAGCTTGGATGTATGATGTTGCAGCTAGTTTCTCCTAAAAATACTTGATTTTCTGAGTTTTTTGCTCTCCATCTTTAAAGGGATTGTTTTTGAGCGGTGTCCCGTAGGGAGCCCCTTCCAGCTTTTTTTTTTTTTTCTTTACTTTTCCTCAACCTATTGCAAGTAACACCAACATGGCGGCTGTCGTTTTAAGGCTATGTTTAATCCAGCCCGTCCCTCTCGCGTATATTGCATACTTACTTTCTTTCCAGAGAAACTCTCTCCAGCTCAAGTGTTTGAGCTCTTCCTGTTTTAGAAGAGGAGGAGCAAAGGGACGAGCTCCTATTCGTGCTTGGTCGACGCAAGCGCGTCTCCTTTCTCTTCCTTTTCACACCCCCGCTGGTTTACAGCCGCCCTCGTCCTTCTGTTTTTGTCTTTACCCTTCATTTTTACCAGGAAGTTCCTTGAAATTAAATCTTTTGCTGTTGTTTTTCGACGGAGAAATGTCCTCGGGGCACAGAGACAGTTTACAAAATGAAATGGTTAAAAGGTTACATACAATTACATGTTTTCTTTCAGTCCCTTCCACTTAATATTATTTAATACGCAAAAGTACGGGGGGTAAAAAAAAAAAAAAAAAAACCCTTTACATGTAATATCTAACAAGTTACTTCTTCCATAACTGCCCTCTGGAGCTGCAGTCAGGTTTTTTTGGAAAGGTGCGCGATGCCTTCCACCAATGAGCTTGTTTTGCACACACCCCCTACGGGGATTAGGTTTCTTTCGTTTTCATTTCCCGGAAGGGTCGAATGTGAAAATAGTGCAGTTTGTTTTATTTGTTCATCGACAACATCGTGTTTTCTTTTTAAAAAAAAAATAAAAAAAGGAGTTTGGGAAGGCGTGATGTAATTTTTTTTTAGTTACTCGACGAGTCAGCTTATGAGAAAAATAGTCCCGTTTTTCTGGTGCAATCTAAAAGATAAGGGACGTTTACATGGCGAGCGTTTCCCCGTCACCTTTGATCAAGGTAAGTAAAAGTCTCTGGGGCTAAACTTCCGACAATCTAGGTTATTCTCCTAAGCTTAAATCAGTTTTAATGTTTTATTAAACACACATAATCAATCTTTAACAGAAGCCAGTTTATGTTTTATTTTTAAAAAATGCTTTGTTTTTTTCTGCACTACCCACTGCACTTGTTTCCAATATTCTTAGCAAGAAACCAGTCCTTCAGCCATAATGCATGGGAGGGAGGTCAGCTTTCCTCCAGCTGTACATCACCCTCCCTCAAGTCAACCTCCTTTGCTCAGTCCTCACACTCAGGAGGATCTGTGGCATCTACCTGGAAGACTGAGTGAGATCTATTTTTGACCATCTTAAATGAAATGAAAACAGATTTTAATTTCTGCCCACAAATAGTTTTGCTCCACCTGTTCAAGTCAGTGTTTTCTTATTAGGAATAAATCCATCTCTGTGGGATAAGGAGGATGTTGCCCACTGGCTCCACTGGGCTCAGAAGGAGTACTCGTTACGCCGACCAGAAAAGGGGCATTTTGAGATGAATGGCAGGGCCCTTTGCCTGCTGACAAAAGAAGACTTTAGACGCCGCTGTCCGAGCTCAGGTACAATTTAATCTCTTGTTTTTATTATATGTAAAAAACATATACATTTTTAAATAATCGTTGGTGGTTTTCCTCAAGGTGACGTTCTTTATGAGATCCTTCAATGTGTAAAGCAACAAAGGAGGAGTGTTGTCTGCCAGTCCCCGAATGTTTCTGCTCCGGCGGTGGGTGGACACATTCAGGCTCCGGTCAGCAGCCGGATACCTTCTCACTCTGTCCAAGAGCCACAGTCTGCCATAGTCAGTGGGAGCCCAGGTCAGAACATGGACTTCTAGTCTCTTTTTGTTTTAGCCACACTAGAAATGTCTTTTGATCTTTTTTTTTTAATTATTTTTTTTACTAAGTGAATTGCACTGAGTAAGTAACATTTAGTAACATTTGCAAATCAAAACCTGCGTAGTGTCTTGTAAAATTTTGTACCCCTCTTTAGACTTTTTCACAACTTTTTTTACCTTGCAACCACAAACTTCAGTGTATTTCATCTGGGCTTTATGTGATGGACCAACACAACGTAGTGCAGAATTTTCAAACTCAAATAGTTACATATCCAAAACACTATGTGTGTGTATTCATTTAGAAAACTAATGCTAACACACCATCTTTATTTTGAAACATGGAGGTTGCACAACAATGCCGGGCGCTTCTTTTTGGCAGGAACACAGAAGTTGAGCTGAGCCGATGCAAACATGTACGAAGATAAACACAGAAGCATGTGGGGACAAATCATATTAAAGATTGCAAAAAAAAAAAAAAAAAAAAAAAAAAAAAAAAGGATTTAAGGGGGAACGCCGCATTAAGCACAACACCCCAAACA